ACAATTTAATCTTCTCATATGTCTTTCTCATTATCATTTTTTAAATTAGAAAGTCTTCATATGGTATATGTCAATTTTAAAATAAATTAACTTTCAATATCAAGGGCTTTCGATATGGGGCCACATTAACTTTCTAAAGGGATAAAATTAAATTTTAAAAATTCAAAAAATTTCCCTGAGTACCAATAAAGTTCCATGAGGAAAATCCATGATTTTCAAGGGTAAAAATGAAATTCCCTGAGATTTCCAGATTTTCCCGATTTTTCCTAGTAATACCCACCCTGCCTATTTATAAAAAAAAATTATTACTCACCGACCTGAAGCGCAACAGGCGGAGTTATCAGCCACGAAGCTACGATGACACTGTAACACAAAAATAAAACATTTAAATTAAAACATTGTTCATAATAATCAATGTCTTAAAAGATAATTTTTATGCATATTGAATTAATTTGATTTTAATTTGTCTTTCAATTAAATATTATATTTACTAATGTAATTATCAATGTCCTCAAAAAATTTTCATAAAATTTATAAATTTTTATAAAATTTTAGGTGATTTTACTTTATGTAATTGTTTGTAATTTATTAAAATAAAACGATCCAGATGAATGAGAAAAAGCTTTTAATTTTAGGCAAGTAAAAAATAATATTTACCCCAAGGTTGCTCCGCCGGTGCCAGATGCTTATCCTGGGCCTCCTCCTCCTCTCAAATTGTCCGGAATATCATAGGACACTCTTTGCTCTCTCGACACTCTTCCGGAATGAGTTGCGATAATTTCGGAGCCGATTCATCATCTCGTGTGCGTGCTGTCTCTTTCTGCAATTAAAACATAATTAATGTAATTAAGATGGCAAAGCGGCGCGTTTTGTTTCGCGTGCAATTAATTTTACACGAAATAATAGCGCCGAAACAGTGCCAACAACGCGTCGGCGTTATACATCTTGATTTTCGGTCGAACAAGTATTGCGAAATACGCGTTCGGACGAACATCAATGCTTGCGTGCCGATTTTATTATACTGCGTGTTAGACATATGCAAATACAAATATCACTTACCAAATATATCAGCCGCGACACTCCTCGTTCCGGAGACGATCTATTTTATGTTCGTTACGTTCTGAAAATAAAAAAAAGTGCTAGCTATTAATGCTATAAAGGCGAAGCGGCTTCGTCTATCGCGCGACGCGGCGGCGGCGGCGGCGGCAGCGACGCTATATGTCTTGATTTTCGACCGAACGAGTATTGAGAAATACGCGTTCGATCGATTCATCAGCAAGTGCCGAATCCGTATTACACGAATTAAATGCGAGATTACTAATAAATATTATACTTACCAATTAAGTGAATCGTGGCGTCACTTGTTCCGGAGCCGATCCGTTCCGTGTTCATCGCGTTCTGCAAATGAAACGTGAATGCGATTAAAATAATGCAAGTGTCGTTTCCGGCGCTGTCTATTTCACCACTGCTAATAGCGCCACCGTACGCGCTGCGGCGGCGTCGGTGCAACAGTGGCGCGCGGCGACGCCGACGCTACACATTTCGATTTTCGGTCGAACGAGTATTGCGAAATACGCATCCGATCAATCTTGCATCTAATTAGCGCGTAATATAGATTCGGCATTCGAACTCTGATTCGATCGGATGCGTAATCGCAATACTCGTTCGGCCGAAAATCAAGATGTGTACCGCCGCCGACGCGTCCGGCGTCGCCCCCGCCGCGACGCTTGCTTCGCGTAAGCTGACGGCACGCGAGACGAATTACGCCGCTTCACTATCTTAGTTATGCGTTTATCCATACGTTCGCTGTACGTTAACGTACGCCATACTTATGGATAAATGCGTAATTAAAATAATGAAGCGGAGCAATTTGTCCCGCACGCGGTCAGCTTACGCGAAGCAAGCGTCGCGGCGACGCGGGTCGGCGGCGGTGGCGACGACAAAGGCGCGGCAACGCTACATGTTACACAAATGCAAAGACAAGTCCTACTTACCAATTATATTAGCCGCGACGCCTCTCGTTCCGCAGATCGTCTATCCCGTATCGAGTTCTACAATTATCAAAGAAACCGCTATTAATATAGTGAAATGGTTTCGTCCATCCGCGCGGTCAACTCTGCGGCTCGCGAGCCAATAGCGCCACGGTACGCGCTGCGGCGGCGTCGGTGCAACAGCGGCGCGCGGTGACGCCGACGCTACATATTTCGATTTTCGGTCGAACGACATCGCGAAATACATTCGAACGATAAATGTTAAATTAATACGCCTTTTATGACAATTATTGCACATAATACTAATTGTAAGAGGCGTGTGTATTAGTTACTTAAAATGTGAAAAATGCATAAACGCGAAGATAAGTGTATAGGACGCGTAGCGAGCAAAAGTGACGCGTAAAAAAACGTCGCGGTGCGCGGCGAACGCATATCTTAATTTTCGATCGAACGAGTATTGCGAAATACGCATCCGATCGAAGTGCAAGCGCCGAATCTATATTACATGAGCCAATGCGTTGCCACGCTTGTTTCGCGTGAGCTGACCGCACGCGGCATGAATTTCATGAATTGCGGCGCTTCGATGGCTTGAATGGCTTCGCTATCTTAATTATGTTTAACAAGAAGCAAATTCTTAGAGCATACCAAAAAATTTATTCCTGGAAGGATTTGTTCATATGAATTAAGATTGCTGCGATCCGATCATTACAGCTACTGAGTTACATCATCCTTTTGCATGACTCATAACACAAGCGGCAATGCAAGACGCGACGCAAAACAACGCCCCCCTTGCCTCGATATGAAATGTCGCGCGCGGCGGCTTACGCGCCGTATATATAGTACCCTACCTCACGCGTGCCCCTCCACTCGCGCTCCAGCCAATGAACGCGAGGCAGTGCCGCGCCGCACTTCAAGCATTCTGATTGGATCGGCGCTAGCTTACGAATTAGGTATATAAACGCTTTGCAGCCACCGAAAAATCATATTTGCTTTTGGAGTTTGGTTTGGACCCTGTCGCGTCGATACGCGGTGCGTCCGTTTTCCAGAGGCAGAATGATGGATAATGCATACTTTATTGATAATAAAATCCTATTTAAATACTGTTGTTTATTTCTATCAGTATAAATTATCTCAATTTAATTTGTTCTTTATCTTTTTCCAATTCTTTGGATTAGAAAAAGATAAAAGTTAAAGAATGTAGCATTATAAACATGAAAGCATTTCTCGAGAATCGTTCATGTTATCGTGCTGTTTGAAACTTCTTTTTTTCACATTGACTAACACTATGCAACAATTTTCTAAAGGATTATAGACTCACAAGATTATAAATAAAAAATAAGTACAAACAGAACTATGAGCCCAGCTAGATGATCACGCTTATTATAATATTAAGAAACAAACATATGATATAATTGATCGCAATCGCAAACGTTGATCAGCTATACTATAATTTTTTTCTTTTTTTAAAGAGTTTTGTCACATATACATATTCCCATCCACTTTGTGGAATGTGGATGTAGTACGGATACTCATCACATTTCCATTTTCTTTATTTATAATTTTATCAATGGTGTCAAAAAATGATGTAGCTACATGAAAAATGGATGCAATGATGCTAGTGTTTGCCGGTCCACTACATACACACGTACTGTACGCACGCTTTGGACATATGATGCAACTTTACATGTGAGACGTATTTGTGATATCGTGATTGCCAGTGCATATTATCTCGAAAATGGCAGCCGCCTTCAGAATTAAGCACGTTATTAAATTAGGAAGATCTTTTTCGAGATCGTTAAATAGAAATTTGCAGGAGAAATTAGTTCAATCGCAATGCCAACGACTACCAGGTTTGTAGGTTAGGTTTTTTATTTTTCTATCTAAATATTTCACTTTTACATGTTGCACTTTATTTGTGTATTGTATATTTTGTCTTATAATTGTTTAAATGTAAATCTGTTTTTCGTGTAAATATAGATTTTCTCAAATGTAGTCTTTTGACTTGTTAAGGAATATATTTAAATTATTTTCAATTTTACAGTTATCTACAATCATGTACGACATTTGTCCTCTCAACCAGAGATTCAAACTACAGAGTACCATAATATTATAAAAGATACAGAGAAAGCTAAAGGTAATATTCAGTTGTAATAGAGATTATTATATCTGAAATCGTTTTCTAAAAAGGTATAACAGAATGAAATATTTTATGTGCAGGTGAGAGTGCCAAGCATCAGTTTCAGTCCGAAACGCAAATGTTGCTGCAAATTGTTGCAAAGTCTTTATATTCAGATAAAGAGGTGATTAAATATTTCAGTTTTTTGAGAACAGTTTACAGTGATTTTACAGTCGATTAATCGGATTGATCCACCTGCTAGGTATTTGTACGTGAACTCGTTTCAAACGCCAGCGATGCACTGGAGAAATTGCGATATTTACGTCTGAGCGACAGCGAGATTGCGCAAGTAGCTGGCGACAGAAGTTTGGAGATACATATTGGCACTGACAAACAAAATCGTACTCTAACAATCCAAGACACTGGTGTGGGAATGACTAGAGAGGAACTGATAGCCAATTTGGGAACTATAGCTCGATCTGGCTCCAAGGCAAGTACCTGTTGAACTTACGTACTTTCATTTTTTAATTATATAAAATATGAATTACGTGTATAATTTCATATTTTATTTAAAATAAAAATTATTTAGATATTGGAAGTTCAATTCAAAATTTAAAAAATGAAATAGAATATATGTAACATTTCCATATATATGTGTATTTTACAGGCATTTCTAAAAAAGTTAAAAGACCAAAACGCCAGTGATACATCCAAAATTATTGGGCAGTTTGGGGTTGGATTTTATAGTGCTTTCATGGTTGCTGATAAAGTAGAAGTATTTACTAAATCTTTTGCAAGTGACGCAGAGGGTCTTTGTTGGACGTCAGATGGGTAAATAATGAGGAAGAATACTTATTGTTCTCTATATTGTAGTAGCAGTCTATAATATTATAAATAATATCCCATATAGATCAGGTACATTTGAGATTTCAAATGCGGACGGTGTACAGCCAGGCTCAAAGATTGTTATACATTTGAAGCCAGATAGCCGAGAATTCAGTGATGAGAATACTATCAATCGTAAGTACATTAGAATAAGAAAATATACACTATTATGTTGTTTTGTATACATTTAATAAAACATAATTATTATAATCCATTTAGGCGTTATCAACAAGTACAGTAATTTCGTCGGCAGTCCTATTTTTGTGAATGGAAAGAGGACTAATACAATTCAGGTATCATCAGTTATATAACTTTCTTATCTACTCTATCATTATTTTTAATCTGTTATAATTAAAAAGAGATTTTTCCTTACAGCCATTGTGGATGTTTGATCCAAAAGATGTCACGCCGTTGCAACATGCAGAATTTTATCGATTCATAGGAAATTGCATTGATTCACCAAGATTTGTATTACATTATTCGACGGATGTGCCGTTGAGTATCAAGGCTCTGTTATATTTCCCGGATGAAAAGCCTGGATTGTTCGATCTAGCGAGGGGCATTACCAGTGGAGTGTCGCTCTACAACCGAAAGATTCTAATTAAAAGCAAAGCAGAGAATATCTTACCAAAATGGCTACGTTTCATTACAGGCGTAGTAGATTCGGAAGACATACCGTTAAATTTGAGCCGTGAACTGCTACAAAACAGTACACTGATTGGGTGAGAATGAATATCTGACGTTTGTATAGATTATTATTATATACGATATATAAAGAACACACGTGTATTTTAGAAAATTACGAAACGTGTTGACCGCACGTATACTAAAATTCTTAAATGAGCGATCTACGAAACAGCCAGAAGACTATAATGAATTTTACAAAGCTTACGGCTTGTTTTTAAAAGAAGGCATTATAACGAGTTCTGATCAGTCTGAAAAGGTAATTAATTGCATTCTATTGATTCCTATAAGATATATTGTTTAATCTCGTGCTCTATTGTAGGAAGATATAGGCAAACTCTTGCGCTTTGAATCTTCCGCTGCTGCTCTGGGGGAATTAGTCAGCCTGTCGCAATACTGCAGCCGTTTAGCAAAAGATCAAAAGGATATATTTTATTTGTCAGCACCGAGGTACGTACATTCATTCGTTCGTTTATTCATTTATAGCCTTCAGCTATTGCAACAATTGAACTTCCGGTCATGACTAAATCTCTCATATTTAAAATATGTCGAGATATAGTCAGTGAAATATAGTCTGCATAAACTCGTGTTAATCAGATCTGCAAGAGTCGTATTTATGTTACAGCCGAACTCTAGCCGAGCAGTCGCCGTATTATGAATCTTTGAAAAAACGAAATGTTGAAGTTTTATTCTGCTATGAGCCATATGATGAATTAGTATTAATGCATTTGAGGCAGTATAAAACTAACCTTTTGACGTCCGCGGAGAAAGAAATGCGAGATGATACGGAAGCAAATAAACCAGAAAATTTAGGTACCTAATAAATATCTTGTATATTTTGTGTAAATATATTTGTAAATTAGTTGAAAATAACTTTTTATCATTCGTGCAGGTATTATAAATAAGGATGAACTGGATAACCTTGTAAACTATATGAAAAAAATTCTCAACAAGAAAGCGTATGATGTCAAGATGACGAATCGTTTGGAATCGCATCCTTGCGTTGTAACCGTTCAGGATATGGCAAGCGCGAGGCACTTTATCCGCATGCAGAGTCATCAAATGAACGAAGAAATGCGATATTCCATGCTTCAACCGCGCTTTGAGATAAATCCAAATCATCCTCTCATCAAAAAGTTATGCAAGCTAACAACTACAGATACTGAATTAGCTGATCGTCTAATAAAACAGGTATGTTATAATTAAAAGTAATTCGAATGCTTTGATGTTTTTTTTAAATAAATTATTACAACGAATTGTTTATCATTATTTGTAGTTGTTTACCGGTGCCATGGTTGGAGCTGGTCTAATTGAAGATCCACGCATATTATTGACATCAATGAACGAATTACTTACCTTAGCGTTGCAAAAATATTAAGAAATAGAGAGAAATGAATTGTGTATCGATATGGATAGTCAATATTATTCTATGATTTAAAATTCTCTATATATTTTTTCCCCTCTATTTTTATATCATAGAAGAACATTGAATGTCCCAAGATATCGCATAAAATACTAATAAGTTATCCATTTTCTTATACAGATATGAGAAAATAAGAATATTAAATTGTGAATAAAGGGGTATAACTTATTGTAGGCAAGATTGGTTTCTTTATTACAATAGGTTGATCTTGTACAAATTAATTATAGCCTTACAATAATAACAAGTCAAGTTCCTCATTTTCTTAAAAGATTTCATGATATCGATATGTATTCTATTAGCAGGGCTAGATGTTATGGCGAATTTAGAAATTGTACCCATGTTTCCCATGTTTTTTTTTCTTACAATCCACGATTTTAAAAGTTGTACACTCAAACTGGCAAGCAATAAATAATTTTATGAAATTATTTTACATAAAACACATAAATATTCGATAAAATTATTTATTCCTTACTTAATTTTTGGAGAAAGTAACTCGCAAGTAGGCCTAAAGCAATAAATAATTCACTGAAAAAATTATATGTACAAACCATTTTATATGCTTTTGATCATATATGTTTTCCGTACTACATAACTATAATAAAAGAAATTAATAATTATCACTTTCAGTGTTATTAATTCAGTTGGGAAATTCTAAAAGACGGGTTTTGCGATTTTTGTAAAATCACTGAATGATTCATATACTATTTATAAAAAGTCCGCTGTCACATCCACATCTTCTACTTTACAGTCTTTGACCAATGTGCTTCATCGTTTCTTTTTTTTTGTTTAAATAAAACTAATCTAAATGTTACGCAATATTTATTCGTGCTTCGTATTACTGACTGAAATTTTATATCGCTTATCGTTTTTTGCTTTTCGAATTTGCTGCAACCGGCGGAATCAATTGTTTTTCTTTATCTTTCTCTTATACGATTCTAATATAAAATCATTAAAAAATTTTATTGTATGAACGTTAATGTGATTCCCTCTAAAATTTCAGAAAGTAGAAGCACAGCCGATTTTAACTTATACAAGGACGAGAGACGATGCTTTTGCGCTTGGTCAACATAAAAAACACCCTGTTTAGCATTATTAGTAATATGATTCGCTAATGTATCCTACCAAACACAAGCAGGATAGCTGGCATCCTTTACAGAACAGGAACATAGAATCGAATTTCTCAACAAAATTCTACGTGTATAAAAAAACGTGTATACCTCACCCAGATTAAGCTGCCGCTATACAATATTCGTTAATGAAAAGTATTCTAAATGGAAGTGACAATGAAGTAAAAAACCTTAGATGTTAATAAAGTGTTCCTCGATACTTCTATCTCCTTTATACAAATTAATCGAAGGAAATGCATTGCTTATATGGCATTAAGAATTAATTGGCAGTTTTTAAAAAGTATTCCATTATATATTATATGGAGTTCCTATGATGAAGAATACATGAGACGCGAATGGCAGATTGGTAAAGGGCGCGATGAGGTGAATTACCTCGCGCCGCTGAGCAGTCTTATTAAAGAGTAGATAGACGATAAAGCGTGATGTAAATAGTAGCACCATGTATGCAGATTTATCGGTCGTGATGGTGATTGAATAAAGAGATAAAAGAGGGCGCGGGAGGGGGAGAAAAAAAAGTTAAATAAACGGAACGTTGACTTAGCTTACGTATACGTGGAGGAGGACGTTGTCCCTTCCATCGCTCTTCCTTATTTCTTCTTAAATTTGTTATAAAACGTCGGGTAATTAACATTGCAATTATTATGATACAAGTCATAGTATTTGATCATCGTATAAACATTATTATCATCACAGTAAAAATATTATATATATATATATATTTTTTAACTATTAACCTGTGCAATAAACACACGCGCACAGTCGCGCACATGTCTGCTCCGCAACGCGGAGGAGGCTGTGTTCTTTTTTTTTTCACTAGAGTCCATTTACTTACACGCTAATCTGCTACTTCTTAATATATGCATTATTAAGTAGTCCGTCGGTTCATTTATACGTAACCAAAATAAAGTCAGTTAGCAAATAGTAAAAATACATAAATGTACCTATGTATCTTTTGCACTGGAATTATAGTTGTTGGATTTAACACGTTAAATTTAAACGATAGGTCATTAAACAATAGTCATTGGTCTGACGACACGGTCGTGATTAACTTTACCTTTCTCGAGTAATGAATTCACCCTTCCATGATCCAAGATAATTTCTTACGCGTGTACTACTGTACTCGTAGTTGCCGCAATCTATTTTCTCTCTAATAAATCTCATCCACATGGTAGAGTCGAAAGAAACATTTTCATTGTTGCGAAAATTAAACAACATGAATATCGAGAATGCGTGCAGTATGTAAGCGTTTACCTAATACACAATTATGTATTTTTCTTCTTGATCAAGCAAATAATTTCAAATTATAATTATATTATCAAACAATTTGTAGAGCGTATTAACAATTAGAAGAGGTGAAACATGGTTTGAAAGTAGAAAACGTACGAACATTATATGTTCATATATCTGTTTTTCTACTCTCAAGCCATAAAATAACAATCTATTTTGGAGTCTACATCCGTTTATATATATATATTATAACAAAACATACGCGGTGTAAAAAAAATATGGTGGATGTTGAAATAAAAAGAAACGACTTCTGGTTTTTCCCCGAAATCAAAATAACCATGAAAGGTAAACGTTGAATCAATTCAAGACATTACAATATTCGAGACAGCCACGACGGCGCAACTAAAAGTACTTATGAAAGAGGCAATACTGCTTTAGCAAGTAGCGAAAACAATGTATTAAAAGCAAGGGGTAGTACTTTGAAGGGGACTAATTGTAATTTGTCTTTTAATATAATAAGTTCTTTTTATTTCAAAATTTACCGTATTTTTTTATCATACCGCGTATGTGTATCCAATAATAATAAAATAAATAGAACGAAAGCTCTCTAAATTTTGTCGTCGACTCCGATATGGACGTACGCGACGTACGCACTGCTTGCAGTTTGTAGGGCATATAACTATTCGCGATTATGGTTTGCAGGATTAAGTACGCTGATGCTTGAACTCTACCTGTGTAGGAGGAGATTTGTGAGGCGCGATGTATTTTTCCGCGACGGTATACATCACACACACGCGCGGTGGCGTGCGTCCAGGACACGCCGGTGGCTCGCACAAACGGGCCTTCCTTACTTCACATTAGCTGCCTGTACAGACTGTCTTACTTCTCTACGGCGCGATATAACACTCTATGTACAAAATTGCATATTCACAGACATCCGCGCGTCTCGATCGTAGATGCACGGAGAAACACGCTCTCGCACGCTTCGGTCTATCCGCGTACTTCGGCACCACCGTTCGTCACACTGAGGTCTGCGTGACGTTCCCCGACAGCCACAGGCGCCCGTTGCTCTTCTGATCCGCGATCTCGTACTCGGAATCGTCGATCTCGCACAGATTCGTGGAGAGATCGCTATTGCTGGTCGCGCCGCCCAACAGCGAGTTCCTTTCCTCGAGCGTGGTGATGACGGAGCCGATCTCATCCTCCTCGATCACCTTGTGGCATCGGTTACGGCGGGTGCTCGGAAAACCATAAGGCACTACGTCGTCTTCTTCCTCCTCGTCGGACTCGAGGGTGCTGAGACGGCCGTTGAGCGGATTCGTCTCGTTCTCGGTGTCGGTGTGAATATTGTAATGCGGCAGGTACGTGTTCGGGTGACGCAGATAGCTCTCGGAGCTTTTGTACTTGTACTCCCCCTCGCCGCCGCTGTCGAGGGGATTCAGACGTTGCGTCTCCGCGCAATGATACTGCTCCGAGAACTCGGTCCCGCACTCGGAATCGCCGACGTATTCCGATTCTTGATCTTCGTTTAGAGTCTCGATGTCCCTCGTTGGATCTATCGGACCGTGCACTATAACAGAATTGCGAATTATGACATATATTTTTACAGAATCATGTTATGTATGTTATGTTATATCGTAAGAAAGTTTTACAATTGCTGTAATTAATTTTGTTAGCAAAAATAACTGGTACGAAAAATGTGTATATATATATATATATATATATATATATATATATATATAACATTATGCCACATTTCTCGTCATGCGTAAATATTGACGTGGTTTATTAATTCGTTAGTCTTTATTAAATTCATTATTATTTTATCACAATGTTTATTAATTTATTACAATGTTAAGACGGCATTAAATACATCACCCGATTATGGAATCTTCATTAAGCGTATAGAATTGTGTGTTAACAAAACTATTAGACAATCAGTATTACTATTAAAATTATTAGACTATTAAACAATATGAAATTTTTTATGATAATCTAAGAAGTTTGCTACTAAACATAAAACTCTTGTAACGTTAATAAAATTAATAAAACTCAAACAATCAATACTACACTAGTCATGCTGATGCGAAGGAAGAGGCGAATCAATGCGCATTCACCTCTGTACTTACTTATTGGCAGTTGATGAGTATTGGACTCATTACTCTCATTACTATGGAAGCTGGACGAGTCTGGGACCTCGCTGCCGGGTACCTCTGTGATGTTAGGCAAGGGATTCTGACTCGGTCTGACCCAGTCTGAGCAGTCCCAGTGATACCCTAAAAGCATTGCAGACAACGACTGTACTCCGACACGCTACATGCGGTGCGGCATAGTGATATGCGGTGAAGTGAAAGGCAGAGATGGTGCGAGGGCAAATAATAGCACTCGATTGGAGACAGATAGTGCAAGCGAAGAAGCGAAGACCCAAAGATGTATACCGAGTATCCTAAGATCGCACACCTTTGGCTACGACAGCTTCTGGTAAATTTGTAAATTTTTATTGACAATCCTTGACGACGTATCTTTCAATTTTCAACATTCAAACTGTTATCTTACGTCAGCAAGATATAACATGTTGGGCATCCCTTAATTTTTAAGAGATGATACGCGATTCGCAGGACACTCTGTATCTCGAGCTGTGTACGAGCGGGCTGTCTCGACTTACCGCCGACGATGCGAGGATCATCCTCGATGGACATGACGGAGGTGACGGAGGAGCCAACCGCATGAGGCGTCCGTCGAGAAGAGTTTAGTAGAAGTCCTCCAGTGGTCAGCTCTGGTACCACTGGGCTCGCTCGTTTCAGGTCTGTTAGTGCACACAACACGAAACACGCTGGTGTTAATAGAATAATCGGCTACGCTAATGACAAAGAGGTCGCAACGGGAAAGAAGAAAGAAAAGGAAAGAGAGAGAGAAAGAGAGAAAAAGAGAGCCGCGTGTAAGAGAGCGAGAAAAATTTGTAAGGAAAAATTTCATCGAGGAGAGATAAGAACGGGGAAGCGCCTAGTGCTCCACCCCTTACGATTGGCATGCCACAAGCGAAATCAAAAGTAAGAAGCTACCGGACGGAGCCGGGAGGGTGGTTCACTGACGCGGTCGTGGACCACTTACCGTTCTTGATCTTGGTGCTGTCGGTTATGAAGGAGGCCAGCTGCATCTGCTCTTGCCAGGTGGGCTTGTGTAGACTGTCCGTATCGCTGCCAGTTGCGTTTCCGCCGACCGGATTAGCGAGGGTCAGGGACGAGGGTGGTACGGGAGTGCTGCGATTCAGGTTTCGCAGGTATTCAGGCGGGAGGTTCTCTAGCTCGTCGCCCGCGCTGCCGTAGCTGCGCAGGGTGTCCAAGTTATTTAGAGCCACCGCCGCCGAGTTACCGTACGTGGCAGGCTCGTTGTTCGAGCTCGGGGTGTAGGAGGCGGGTCTGGGAGGGCATTGGGGAGGTTCTCTCTGCAAAAAAAAAGAATCACACGTAGACCTTAAACGGGATCGGCGCCGCGACGAGGGCACAGGAGGGAATGTGTATCACGTCGGCAAACCAAACGATCGCAAACGAAAAATAAAACAGCGATTATAATGTCGATTATACTAAATAGCGATTATATACCACAAAGAAACTGAAGGCACTATATCGTAATCATCAGAGTGAAGTCTCTTAAAGTCTCTCATCGTGTAGATATTGAAATAATGCCTTCGAATAAACGTGTATTGGCCCTCGAGAATTCATGCTTTTTATAGTACGATGATCAAGATAGTCAATCTAAACATAGCAGTGGTAGTACCTGTATGACTTCCAGATTGCTCAGTTTCGAACTGCGTTTGAACTCGTGCTCGTGCGGTCTCGCGGAATTCAGGACGATCTGCTTGCGCGTCTCGTTGTTGATGTTGTTGGCGCGCGTTCTGGTTCGCTTCGTCCGGATTCGCCAACAGGCGATGAATATAATGATAAGCAGGACGTTGAGCAGCACCGCGATGCCGATCCACATGAGATGCTCCCACGGAATGTTGAAGTGGCTGGATATGATGGGCGTGGAGAAGGCCGGGTTGCCGCAGTTCAGCCCGGTCATGTTCGGCGGGCAGATGCATCTGTACGTGCCGATCTCGTTCACGCAGGTGCCGCCGTTCGTGCACGGATTCGCGTCGCACTCGTTCACGTCGGTCTCGCAGCGATCGCCCGTGAAGCCCTGGCACTTACAGATCGGCCCGTTGTTGCCCTCCTCGCACACGCCCCCGTGATTGCATGGATTCGGGCTGCAGTACCTGCCGAATTCGCAACGTTTGCCGCTGAGACTTGGCCCGACGCACTCGCAGACGTAGTCACCGCCTTCCGGCACGAGCTTGCAACGGCCGCCGTAGAGACAGGGCGACGAGGCGCACGGATCCGTGTCGATCTCGCAAGCCAGACCGGCAAATCGGCTGTGGCACTGACACTCGTAGTTGTCGCTACCCGTGTCCTTGCAGGTGCCGCCGTTCTGGCACGGCTGCGAGCCGCAGACACCCGGCGGCACCAGGATGGTCGTGGTGTCGCAGCTGAACTCGACGTTGGCGAATCGCTTGAGGATCGCCACGCTGCTGGCGCCGCTCATGTGCAACGGCACGGATACCCGGGCGATCCTGACGTCGTCCATGCAGCCGACGAAACCGCGCTGCACGTCCTCGAAGCCGATGATCGACGGATGCTGCCTCACCTCGGCGCCCAGATACAGATCGTCCGATTGCAGATTCAGTATATCGTTGATACCAGGCGCGGAGCCGTGAGCGATGTGTTTTCCATCTACGGTCAGTCGGGCGCTGTTGCTCTCCCGCTCCAGCTGGATCTCGTGCCATTGTCCGTCGCTCACGTACACGCTACTCACTCTAACTAATCCTTCGCCACTACCCAGATCAAATTTGTACTGAATCACGCCGTTAACAATCTCCAGGATGTTGTAGTCCACCTTGCCGGCCGCGTACATGAGGTTACCGGTAGGCTGCATCGTCCTGATCCTCAAGGACAAGCTGAGACGGTCCTCGATCGTTTGCCGTATTAGCGCCTTGTCGATCTTGTAGCGCGCGTAACTCTTGCCGCTGAATGATATGGGATTTCGCGGAATGTAACACGACTCGTCGTGGCATTTGGAAATATCTATATCGCAGGTCTGTCCGGCATATCCCTCGGGACACTGACACGAGTATCCTTGAATGGAGGAGTCTGGCACGCAGACTTTGAACAGAGGACAGGGATCCCTGGCGCACTCGTTGACCACCACCTCGCAGTGATTGCCGGCATATCCTTCCTTGCAATTGCACTCCATCTTGTGCTTGTGCCGCGGCGACACAAAGCTCATCACGTCGGTGGACACGGGCGTGATTTGTGTGGGATCGAGAGTGATCTTGTCTTGGCAGTCGCCGTAGAAGCAGTAACCTTTGTTGCACTTGAACCGGACGATCTCTTCGACAACCAGCTTCGTCGACTCCTCCAGCTCCTCCACATGCTGGTTTAACGCCTCGCGTATGCTCTCTGATGCGTAGAACCCTGCCGAACCCGCGGGATTCGACTTCTTCACGGCGAACAAAAGATCGAGATCGTTGTGCACCGCCTGGCGAATCGCCCGCGACTTGATCAGGTTCGCCTCATCGGTCGACGGTTGCACGCTGATAATGACGATGTCCTTGAGCCGGCAGTTCATCGCGTTGCGAACAGTTCTGACGAAACCCTTGCGATGACTGAGCATGAAATCTTCCGGGCTGACCTCCCGAAATCTCACGATCACCGAACTCTCGAGCATTTTGTCGGTCACCAGATCGACGTTGACTTTCACGACGGAGTACGAGTGGAACTTGCCGTCCGTCACGCTAACGTTTATCTTATACTCGCCCACGTCGAGTCTGGGCAACGCCACCAATGTGCCGTCGATCTTGTCTATCTGGAAGAGATCGATGTTCGGGATCGGCGAGGATGGCATCAAACTGAAGAGAAGCGTGTCGTACTGATCCTGATCGGTCGCGTGGACTTTCCCGATAATGCCGCCGGGATACTCGTCCACGTAAGAATTGATAATCACTTCGAGGGGCGTGATTACCGGCGGATATTGCGACTCCTCGATCACCTTGATTACAACCCACGCGTCCGAGTATAACGGCGGGCTGCCGTTGTCGAACACCCGCACGTGCAGCACGTACTTGTCCTTCACTCTGTTGTTGAACTTCGTCGCCGTTCGCAGAGTGCCGTCCTGCTCTAGCCGAAACGCGTCGCCCTCGTTTCCGGAACGGAAGTCAAAGGTGTACGGCTCGGCGTTCGGCTCGACGTCCGCGTCGGTGACCACGAATTGCAGAACCGTATGGCCAAGCGGCTTGTCCTCCTGCACAACAGCCGTGTAATTTGACATGGAGAACAACGGCGGATTGTCGTTCGCGTCCAGAACCTCGATGTTCACCATCACGAAGCTCGAGAGCATGGGTATACCGTTGTCACGCGCATGAACTTCCAACACGTAGCTTGCAACCTAAAAGAGAAAGTGGAGCATTTTAGTAGAGCACTTCGTTGAAGCTGATATACTGTAGTCTGTATATTGTATTTGACACTGACTTCTTCTCGGTCCAGTGGCGCGGCGACAAATATTTGCCCGGTTTTTCTGTCGATGGAAAATTGCTTCTGTCTGTCGCCACGTTCTATATAATACGACACATTGCCGTTCTCCTCGCTATCCAAATCGTTCGCGTACACCTGAAATGTCAGTGGAATAAAATATTTTAACAAGATACATGTTATATATTCACGTAACGTAAAATTAATTTTCTATTTATTTATAATTTTGTGTATCTATTTATTATATACTATTATACTACATAGCACAAACAATCCTATAGCATTATATGTTAATCACTACAATAGTTAAAGACAAAATGAATTGACAAAATAAATGAAATTAGATTTTTGGTCCTATTCCACATGTAAAAAATTTTAAGTGAAAAAATATCACATTACACATGTATTGTATAACAAAAGAACTATAATAAAAACTAAAAATAAGTTTCACTCCAAGGACGATTAATTAATAAATCGCAGTATTGTCTCTTGATGGATGGAAATGTAAATAATAAGAACTGAAAACTCACTTGTGTAACTTTCTCTCCGATTTTCGCATCTTCCCTCGCGAAGGCTCTGTACGAAACCTCGCTGAAGATCGGCGCGTTGTCGTTGCTGTCGGTGACGGTGATATTGACAGTGGCGTGATTGCTCAGCGGCGGAATACCACCGTCGATAGCCTGGATAGTGAGGAAGTAATCGCGAGCCCGTTCATAGTCCAGCTGTTCGGCAATGGTCATGACGCCCGTCTTGGCGTCTATCTGGAACTTCTTGTGCTCATTGCCACCGACGATCGAGTAATATATATCAGCGTTCACGCCCGTGTCCTTGGAAGTGGCGAGCACTCGTGCCACCTCGGTGCCAACCGCGTAGATCTCAGGTACTTTCGCGAAGTAGACTTTAGACGCGAATTCCGGCGGATTGTCATTGATGTCCTGCACGTTAACGATGAGAGAGGCGACCCCCATTAGTTGAGGAGTGCCCTGATCGAGCGCCTGAATAGTAACATTGTACATGGCCTTCGTTTCTCTGTCCAGCGATTTAGCCAGCGTGACTATCCCACTGTCCGCCGCGATGAGAAAGTGGCCGTCCGCCGAATCGATAAACTCGTACCGGATCTTCCGATTGATACCGATATCGTCATCCGTTGCGTGCACCTTCGTCACTAACGTGCCGATCTCCACGTCCTCGGGCAAAGTGCTGCTGTAAGTTGACATAGTGAATTTCGGTGCGTTGTCATTGAGATCGGAAACGAGGATCTCTAGTTGCGACGAGCACTCCCAGGTCGGCTTGTCTCGGTCCTGCACGTGGGCCGTCAAGGAATACTTGGCCTGAGTCTCTCGATCGAGCTGCCCGACGGTTTTCAACACACCCGTTTCTTTGTCTAACGAGAATTTGTCGTTATTGTCGCCGGTTAAGTAAAATCGTAGCTTAGCGTTCGGCTCGTCGTCGTAGTCGGTGGCCAACACGGTCAAGACATAGGTACCAGGATGCGAACCCTCGGAAAGTATCTCTCTGTAACGATATCTGAGACAATACGGCGGATTATCGTTGACATCCAGGATTTGCACCGTCACTTTTGTCTCAAAAACGTATTTCCCGTCGGTACCAACAATCTGAAGCTCGTAACGATCGATGGTCTCTCTGTCCAAGGATTTCGCCACGTACACCTCGCCGGTAGATCTGATTTGAAACTGCGATCTAGAATCGCCGGACGTTATGTAAAATTCTATCGGCGTGTTGACGTCTGTGTCTTTGTCGACGGTGACCAGTTTCACCACAACGGTTCCCGGTAAAGCGTCTTCGTTCACCGTGGCCTCGTAACGATCGTCGACGAACGCGGGCGAGTTATCGTTATAATCCTTTAACTTGACGTGCACCGACGTCCTCGCGAAGTGTTTCGGATTTCCATTGTCAGTAGCAACCACCTGGAAAAAGGATTATTGTATAACATATTTTTTTAGAGTACATTTTTTACAATACATTTAGGACATTTAATTTAATTTATTGTGTAGTCATGTAGTCATAGTGTTACGAAGAAATGACTTATAGAAAAACATAAACGATAAGGCTTCAGCAATACTGTTATAATACCCGTCCGAAAACGCAGGATGCGAAAATGACAAATAGAATACGGTTACAATAAAGTGCGATTAATAGAAAATAAATATTTAAAATATAAAATATAAAAAATTACAATATAAAAGGCACGACAAAATATTTTTACCATATTGCCTTCTTAGCATATTTTACCTGAAACTTATATTCCGGCTGTTTTTCCTTGTCGAGCTGTACCAACGTCGATATCCAGCCGGTATAAGCGTCCACCGTAAAAACGTTCGCTAATTCCCCTATGTCGGATCCGAAGGAGTAACGCACCTCGCCGTTACTACCAAGATCCTTATCGTGCGCAATAACTTTCAATATCGACGTCCCCTCGTCGATGTTTTCGGCCAAGCTGATCGCGTACGGATTGCTCTCGAATTTCGGCGCGTGATCGTTCTCGTCCAGTACCTGAAGGGAGATCTCGGCGAGAGCTGTGAGCGGCGGGCTGGAATCCGTTTCAGCGAGGACCCCGATCAAATGGCTGTCTTTCTGCTCTCGATCCAACGGCCGCGCCAGAGTGATCTGGCCGTGAGAGTCGATCGTGAAGAGCGGGTTATCCTCATCGCCGGATACTATGCGATACGTCACAGTGCTATTTGTGACGGTCTTGAGTTTCGTGATCGGCGTGCCGACGGAGGAGTCCTCTCTGACAAAGAATTTATCTTCCTTCCGCTCGAACAGAGGCGGGATATCGTGGGAGCCCATTATGTAGATACTTAGCGGCACATCGGCGTGGTGCGTGGTCGTGCCCTTGTCCTCCGCACGAATAAACAGCTCGAACAATTGATTTTCTGAAAGTACAACAAATATTGTCACATAAAATCTCCGAGACGGGGGAGCGTATCTATCTTATTTATTTTGCTCACAGGAAGGTAAAAATAAACATGTCTCTTACCCCACGGCACAGCGCTCTTCTGCAAATAAAGGGATCCTGTATCGGAATTTATACCGAACAGAGATCTGGCTGGTGACGCTTGCGGTTCGTAGATGGAGTAAACGATCTTGGCCGCCTCATCCTCGTCCGCGTCCTGTGCCCTGACTTTTAGGAAGGGTGCATTCACGGACAGGTTGGCCTGAATGGTCGCTTTGTACTCTCTGAGGAGGAACACCGGCGCGTTATCGTTCTCGTCGCCCACCTTGACTCGCACCATCACGAATCCGGATCTACCGCCGCCGTCCGTCGCTATGACCGGTATCTCGTAGCGCTTCTGCTCCTCGCGATCGAGCTTCTTACGCGTCACTATCTCGCCGGTCAGCTTGTTTATGTCAAATATCTCCTTCATCATCTCCGACATTATCGCGTACGTCACCGTACCGTACTCGCCGAAGTCCTCGTCCACGGCCAGCACGCTGGTGACCAGTCTACCAGGCAGCTGGTTCTCCAGAACGGTCACCTCGACTATCGGGTTCGGGAATTTCGGATTGTGCCTGTTCGCGGGCAGGATCTCGATTTTGACGCGGGTGAAGCTGGTGTAGACGCCGTCGGTGACGGACACGTTGAGCATGCTGAGCTTCTGCTCGCCGAAGTTCTGCATATTTATCAGCGAGATGATACCGGTCGACTGGTCGATGTTGTACGTCTGCTGTTCGTTCCCACCTACGATGGTGTACGTCAGCTTCTCGTCGACGTAATCGGGATCACTGGCCGTGACCACCGTCACGAATTGGCCGCGTTCGGCGTGCTCCGACAGGAAACAGGTGTACGAGGGCTGCTCAAACTTGGGCGGGTTGTCGTTCATATCGATCACGCTCATCCAGACGTGCGCCGTGCTCGAAAGACTCGGCACGCCGCGGTCCATGGCGATCACGGTGAAGTGATGGGACTCGCGACTCTCGTGATCCAAAGATCGCTTGAGAAATATCACACCCTCGTCGGGATCGATGTGGAAGAGGTCCGTGCTGTCCTCGGTGTCGTTTTGAATAGCGTAACGAACTTGTTGATTGATGCCTGTGCGTGGCAATGAAAAAAAAAATGAATATGGATACGATGAAGATATCAGCTTTTTTCAAATTTCATCCATATGTATACAACCCCGGGGAGGGAGATGATCCCGATCTTCAGTGCGAGGCTTAAAATTGACGCTTACCTGTGTCATTGTCTCGCGTGCTCACTCGCAGAACGGGAGTCCCGAATACCGCCGCCTCCGACACCGAGATGTTGTAGGAGTCCTGCGTGAATTCGGGCGGGCAGTCGTTCACGTCCAGGACGAGGATGCTGACGAGCACCTCCGCGTAAACGCCTGACACGCTGTCGGTGGCGCGTACGGTCAGCTCGTACTGCTTCTTCTGCTCATAATCCAGCTCATCCACCACATAGATTACACCTGATTTATACGAAGAGAAGATTGTAGACCCAAAGCACACTATGCAGCGGAGTGTCTACGTATCCGTCAAAGGAGCGTGTTCTTTCCAAGAGCGAAAAGCGAGTGCGTATAAGAAATTAATCTATTAACATTGATTTTTTATTTAGCTTTTGCGTCAACGTTAATTCAATTTCGCAGTTATCAATTAATTCAGTATCACGTGAAACTGTACATATATTTCTACGATATTATACATAACGACGGATCTGTAGACACTGGAAGACGTGAATGAATGCAGTAACGTGAATGATAATCTCGTTTACATAAAATGTCGGGATTCCATGATTGCCAATGCCTGTGATAATGCCTGCACCTCTCGGGAAGTAAATGTCAAAATTTCACATCACGGCTATATTTACTCTGACGTGTTATCGCACGGTTCTTACTAAATTAATTCCGAAATAATTTAGAAAATGGAATAGATAATAGTATAGCAAATCTGCTTTACATAAGGTGCAGGCACGACATGCGAGCAGGTTGAAGCTATTGAAATCTTGTGGAGAAAATGAAAATAGGTGGGCCACACGGGTTCACATCCAGGCGAAATATTTATGATGTGTTCAGACTGACCTCGGGATCGTGGAACGATAGTGCGTGTAAGCAGCTATTGTGCTCCAAGCCGGTTTCGTGTGGTTTCATCGCGATTACAATTTAATGAGACCCGCCCAGATTACGATCGTGGAAAAACGGGGAGCGGGAAACAAAATTAATTTTGTGAAATGGTGTATACGACCAAAGCGGTTTATAGAGGAGAAGAGACTCCCTCCGAGAGCAAATGTTATAATCTTTTTAAATTAAAAAGACTCGGAAAAACTCTTCATCTTCGTAAATGTTAGCCTCTCCTGCGAGAACGTGCAACAAGCTTACGTCCCATAAGCTAGCAAATCATCTCAATAACTCGAAATGCTTATTGTTTATTGTTATTTTCACTGTGGCATAATGCCGTGCGATTAATACATTTAATTAAGTGTTACGGGTAATAAAATCAAAATTAGTTGGCGGGAATTGAGAAACGTGGAAGAATAAATGTAAGACTAAACATGCCGTACAATTTGAAAAATATGAAAATATGAAATGCATTACGCAAATTTTATAGAGATGATTGATGCGTCTGTGTCGTAACAGTAAACAAATATATACAGTTTCTGAAGTGATGACGGAAAAATAGAATGGTGCTTCATAATAAGGTTTTATATAAAAGACCTATATTCTTTCGACTTGGCTTTTCATAAGGAATCATTTTATTTTTGGTACCACTTCAGAAACACAATGTTTATTATATATGTATTAAGAGGGAATAGATTGTACGTCTCGTGTTGTCATGGTAATTGCATAAGATAATTGAATAATTTGCATCGATCAAAATGTTAATTGGAAATTCAATCAAGCGCTGCAGCAATTGATAAGCGTATACATATTCTGAACTGTTAATTACATTTTCCACTGAAGATTGAAGATTAAAACTGCGATTTCACGTTGAGTGTGACATGACAGTAATCAATCGTTTAAATGTGAATCTAAAAACTGGCATCGTTTCTTCGAAAGTTTATACAAGATATCTCATGGACTAGAATTAAACGGGTATATATAAAAACACCTCTGAATTAAGAGCAAGCAAGAAATTCAAATCTGGAAGTTCTACATTGCATTCGATGCTATCAAGATGGAGAACAAGCCGGTTCCCGATTTAGTTATTGAATCTCAGATTCATCCAAATTCAATTTCGTTGCTCGCGCATTGTTTCAATCTGTTCGACCCAACAGCAGCGATTTGCCTATGATATTACATCGTGCATGAACACAGAGAGCGGTGTGCAATACAGCGTAGCAACATAGACCGATAAAACTAGAATTTTTTTTTATACTCACAAGGACCATTGTTACTGTCGGGGGCTGCGAAACAGGGAGATACAACAAGACTTTAATCTCTAGTTTCCAGACACAAGCAATTGTAAGAAATACATGGCACAAGTATCATGATCCGAACACGATTGAATTATCTACTATGAAAAAATAACGTAAATACGAACAGCTACTAAAAATACGTAATCGAAAGGTACGTTCATTGGAATGATTAAATAAAAATATATATAAAATAACATAATAAAATGTAGAATCGGCGCTAATCAATTTAGATTTTAAAATCTAGACGTAAAAATATTTAATTTTTAATATCTTATGAATATGATTAAAATTATAGCAGATTAAAATATTACGTTTCTTTCTCCATTTTCCCGTAATTTCACCAATATTGTTATGCGATTAGAACTTAGTAACCAGCTACCATAATGCAGCAAAACTGACGAGTTTACTAAGTATAGCCATACTAGCAATATATCATAAGAAACCCTTCTGTAGTAACGAATAGCGTAAGTCCCATAGCCAAGTTACTAAAAACGGGAACGTTTGACTCGGGTATCCGGACGTAATATTTGACGTAATATTCATTTTAATATAACGTTTATATATCTTTAACTAAAAAAAAGCTCTGAACATGGAACATTTTTACCATTGTCAACCGAGAAAATCTTTAAGTAAATTTGATTTATATTTCTTGCTGCGCAGCTAAGAGGAAACAATATCGCCAATTCTTATACGTTTCTACTTTTTCACTGTACCATACAATCTTTAACAACGTTACGCTATCTCATACAAAATTATTTGCTAACGTAGATTTCTCGTTTGTCATCTGATAGGGCATGCCCCGAGAATCTGTGTCGCGTATTTCACTTACCCGTGTTGAAGTCCAGGGCGAACTCCTCAAAATCATTGCCCTTAGTAATGCTGTATATGAGTTTGCGATTCAAGGGTGACTCAGCTTGAATGGATAACGCCAGAGGTGAATGCACTTCTATACTCTCGAGCACGCTATCCGTGTAGAATTGCTTGTCAAATACCGGCATCGAGCGATCTATCACCTTCACGTTGACTGGCACCTCAATGGAGCAAGGCGTTATTCCTGCAATCATATTTAGAAGCTCATTTAAAACGGGATCAAGCGGAAAGCGAGTTATTGACTTTGGATTTAACAAACTTACCGCCGTCGTACGCGGCGATCGTGAGCTGGTACTCGCGATTGTGACCTTCGAGATTCTGTTTTAACGATATCTCGCCGGTTTTCCGGCACACCTTGAAAAGCTCCCCGTGACCCTTCTTTAATTCGTATCTCACCTCGCCGTTATCGCCGCTATCCATGTCTACCGCGTGAACCTGAAGGATGAAAAACATTTTGGAATCCGTATATACAAGACCGAAGTTGAAATTGAAAAGAAAATCGTGTGTTAAAAAGAAATCCCTCTTTAAGAAATACCTTCGTAATGACGTCGCCTTTTTGAGCGTCGACGGAGACGACAGCGTAGTAAGGTAGATTAACGAACATCGGACAATTGTCGTTGATGTCGAGTATAGTGACGTTCACTATGACGTGAGCCACCCTGGGCCTCTCCCGATCCGGCGGGTGGCTCTTCGCCTCGACGATTAATTCGTAGTGATCGCACACCTCTCGATCGAATCGTATGCCGTTGGTCCGGATCGCGCCGGACGTCGGTCCGATTACGAACATGTCGGTGGGATTGAGAATGCTGAAGACAATGTGCTCGTTCAATGAACTACCGAGAACGTTCACCACCACCACGGTTGTAATCTTCGTGGAGTTCTCCAGAATGGCACCTTCATAGACATCCTTTTGGAAGATCAAACCGGAATTCTCCGATTTTTCTACCATCACATTCACCTGCGCCACGCTCGAGTACTTGCCGTCCGACACTCGCACGTGGAGAAGATAGTTCTTCTTCATGCGCTCTGGATTATGGATCGTAATAATGCCGCTCTGAGCGTCTATATCGAAGGTGTGAGCCTTATTGCCATCGATGATGTCATATCTAGATAAATATGAAATATTATCCATCAAATAAAAACCAGATGCAAAAAAAAAGAAAATTGAAAATTTTGATAACATAATTAAAATAATTAAAAACATTTAAAAAGAATGTCTTTTTGAATACGTGTTAACCCGAGACTTATTCATTCAATATAAAGACGATGTGCAACGTAAGCGAAAGTACAGTCATTATTATAAACCGTGAATTAAGGCTGCATTTAATACGGAATACGAGTTATAAATAAGGATCTTGACAGCTAGAAAGCTCGCTGACGTTTCTGCAGACGTACCTCAACGCGGCTCCCTCGGAGCTGTCAGGATCTACGGCATTCACCCGAGTGACGGCGACGTTCTTATACGTCGGCAGCAGAAGCGTGACGTTGTAATCAGTCTTGGAGAACTTGGGCGGACAATCGTTGACATCCGTCACGGCTATTATCACCTTTGCCGTAGTCTCAGACGAGAGCTTTGGCTTGCCTAAATCCGAGACCTTCACGTGAAACGAGAACGTCGGTATGGTCTCGTGGTCCAGCAACATGACCGTGCGTATGGCGCCGGTGCTCGAGTCTATATGGAAGTACTTTCGCGGTAGATCCTCGACGATGTCGTAATTCAGCAGCGCGTTCAACTCGGAGTCCGCGTCCTCGGCCTTGATGACCAGCGGCGCGCTCGTGTTGGTCAACACGAGGGAACCGATGCTGGCACCCTCGCTGATCTCGCCGCTGTACTGGGCCTGCAGGAAACGCGGCGCGTTGTCATTCCGGTCGAGCACGTGGACGATGACGTTGCAGGTGGCCGAAGCGCCGGCCATATTCGTGGCCGACACCGTGAGATTGTAGAACTTGGTCGTCTCGTAGTCCAGCTGATTCTTGATGACAATCACGCCGGTGCTCGGATTCACGAAGAACGTGTCGTCGCGATTGCCGCGCACAATCTCGAACTGCAACGACGACGTGCTCCGCGCCTCCACGTGCTTCACGTACGTGCCAAGCTGTTGGTTCTCGTATATCTCCGCGGACAGCTCCTTCTGAACGAAGCGCGGCGGCGCGTTGTCGGCCATCGTCACCATCACGTGCACCGGCACGGTGTTCGCCAGCGCGGGAGAGCCGTGATCGGTCGCCTTCACGAGAAGGATGTACTCGGAGGAGACGCTGAGGTCGAGGTCGCGCGCGACGCGGATGAAGCCGAGATCCGGATCGATGGTGAACACGTTGCCGACGTTGCCGGACGTAATCGAGTAGGTGATCCTGGCGTTCTCGCCGCGATCCCGATCGATCGCGCACACCTGTACCACCGCCGTCCCGATCGGCGAGCTCTCGTACACCTTGCCCTGAATGATCTCGCTGATGAACTCGGGCGCGTGATCGTTGTGATCGTGCACGGTGACGATCACCCGTGCGTAGTTCCGCTTGGCCGGCGTGCCCTGATCCTTGACCATCACCGTCAGCACGTGCTCCTCGATGGTCTCCCGGTCGAGCGGCTCGTTCAACGTAATCGAGCCCAAAACCGAGTCCACGTGGAAGATCTCGAGCGAGGCCTGTGTCTGCGCCGCGTGCAGGCTGTAGAAGACCTTCTTATCCTCGTCCTCGTCGGTCGCGTGCAGCTGCAGGATTCTCTCGCCCTTCTCGACATTCTCCGAGATGTCGACGCGATACGTGTTCTCGGTAAACTCCGGCCGGTGATCGTTGATGTCGATCACGGTAACGAGCAGCTGCGTCAGCGTCGTGTGCACGCCGTCGGTTACGCCGATAGTGAGATTATAAAAGTTCTGAGTCTCCCAATCCAGCCTCTTCGCTAGCAGTACGTTGCCGTTGTCACGACCGATGAAGAACTCGTCGCGCTTGTCGCCGTCTAAAACGTGTCGGCAGAAATTCAAGATGACTCTTGTGATTTTTAGCACTTAATCCCATCGTGGATACGCGGAATCGCAACAAACATTTCGCAACGAATACGTTCAAGTATAGACTACTGACTAATTGTAAGTATACCTATAACTACACTCAGGAAATTCTGGGATCTTTGAGAGACCTCAGTAAAATTTCGAAACTTCATATTGGGAGAAAATTAAAAATAATTGCAATTATCAATTTGATATTATTGCAAAATGATTGCGATAATAATTTAATTATAATGTGCAATCATTTTTTATGCCAATTATAATTTTATATGTTTGATAGAACTAAATAAATATAATAATAATTATTATTATTAACTATAAATTATTGCATTATTAAACTATAAAAATGGAGCTCCTAATCATAATTATTTTATATAAATTTTAAATTACACAAATATCAAACACTTTTCTCTCATTGTCAGCATTATTGATAAAAAAAAGTATTGTAAATAAGGAGAGAGAGTCTTTATGTTTTCGATATTTATTATAATTTTAGATTACTTCTAAGTAAATAAACTATTTTTTAGTTCATTTACAATAAATTTAAAAAAAAATTAATCACAATCACAGATTTCTACAGAAATTGCAATACAATAATTTATTTTCAAGCATGACGAAAGATCAGCAGGATCTTCCAGACTCCTGAGAGATAATCATATATATATAAAATAAGTGTATATACCTAGGGTTAAGAAAATATAGCAAAGATCAGATATCTTTTTTTAATAAGATATACGTCCTTATTTTTGCATGTTAAAAATTTTAAACTTAAAAGTTGGATTACCGAACGATATATCTTTCGTATATCTTTGGCATGAGAATAATAAAGAACACACAATGTCTCACGCGGGAATTCTGGATCATCGTGAAAAATGTGGGTATCCGTCCTTACCTAAAATATCGTACCACAGAGAATCGCCGTCTCTGTCGCTGGCTTGCACGAGGGCGACTAAAAAGCCTGCCTCGTCGCTCTCCGTGACTTCCACACTTTGATTGTTTGTCTTGAACACTGGAGGGTTCTCCGATTCCTTCGGCGCCTCCACAACTTGAACGGAAATTCGAGTCTGATGACTACGCGGCGGCTCGCCGTGATCGGCCGCTCGTATCTGCAGAATATATACAGCGCGTATTGAAACTCCCATTCAAATCGCGTTTACATTGCAGGAATACCGAGTATGAATATGCTACATTATAAAATCAGAATCCAAAATCCAACGCGCGCGATGTAATATCATGCAAATTTACTCCAATTTCTTCTTGCCCCAAACATTTTTCCTCTACGCGCCAATTGTTACACAAATTAACACCGCTTTATTTAATAACAAATAATTATTATATCATTTTACTTATTATTTTATCGGTATGCTTAGAGATTTTTTTTCACGAGACAGGAACGCTCCGCGTTTGTAACACAATTCGTAAAATTCTCATTTTGTGTGTAAGTCAGCAATTATCTTATTATAAATATAAGTTATTTATCCCATATAATTAAACTTCAAAATTCTATTTTTTGTTTTCGGTTGTACAAAAGAGAGAGAGAGAGGTCGCATTTCCTGTCTCCAATGAATAAAACAATTATTTATACCACTAAAGTGTTTTTAATTAATGAGAAAAAAAAGATTACGTACAATCATTTCGTATTCTTGGCCAGCCTCGAATCCACGTTGGGAGTACACCATCCCCGTAGTGGGATGAATTTTAAATTTGCCCTTTCCCCGGCCGGCCTTGATGCTATACTGAATTCTTCCGTTGTCACCGATATCTTGGTCGTACGCAAGAACCTAAACGCAAATTTCGAGATCAGTTATCCCGGCTGCCATTGCATTATGACAAACCCATATTACTGCGACGGAAAATCCGGCACGAAAAAGACATTAGTATGCTTCGTACAATCTATTAATCAAACGCAGCGAACAAGAATTTGACATTCCCCGAGGACTAGCATCGTTTAACATAAACAGTTCTATCAAAGATCGTGAAGGTGGTTCGTACCGGCGTACTAGTATTCTCCTAAAAAAAAATCTTGCTTTCTTTCAACAGACACTTCTTTCTGCAATCCTCTAAACGCAAAATGCATACTCAGGCTCGCGAGAGATAGAAACAGATGCGCAATTATACGTTCCTTACGGCGTCGCGGTAAAAAAAAAAACAACGCCTTTGATCGAGAAGCGCAAGTGTGGCATAATCCGCATGCGGTACATCGAGAAAGAGCTAAGATCGCTGTGTGATAGCAAAATGCAGCCAGGCTCCTCCGGTCTACCGCGGCGTGCCTCAAGCGTGCTAACGATCGCGATCGCGGAGTGCCGCGGACTCGAGAGAGTGGTAACCGAGAGCGCGGAACGGAAACTGCGTCGCGACGCGACGCACGCGGGAGAGGAGGATGCACTCGCTCCCGCGAGTAGTACATTCGCGTGTTATGCACGGCGAAAATGTTATACGAGTCCAGCGCGTGTACGCGGAAAAAATATAGTTGTCTATGCATTAGCTTCCGCTGCCTCTACTGACAGACCTCCGAGCAAACATTTTTCTTCGTGTACCTACTCGCGTTCGTTGCGCCAGCAGCGCGATCGCGTTTCTCCTTCCGGCATCTTCCTCAGCGCGAGAAAAACCGGGAAATCGAGGTGCGATAAACTTGACTAATTATACTTGGCCTGCGCGAGAGCCTACACGTTAAGCATTGACTGTCGAGCCCCTCGATGTGTCTCTTGGACTCGCGCGGAGGCTGCCTCTTGGCGCGGCACATGCATCCTCGTGCCTGCATTATTCGCAATCATTTTCGAACTACTTACGCTCGGCGCTCGAGACGATACGCGTACGTAGATCACAATCCACGATCTATCTCGTTCCGCCCTAGTTCCCCTGCAGCCGTGCGTTCTCTCGTGAAGCTGAGCTGAGCGCTCTTCGATATCGCGTATATTTATGCAGACATTGCGCGAGATGTGCAATACGATCCTCGGAAATACATACATCCTTTCGACTTCGACGTAAAATTCGACGCAACAACGAGGACGCGAGTGATCCGATGCCGAACCGGGAATCCGTAAAATTTCGCAAGCGCGGCTGACAGCCCCGCTGATCGCAAGATCCTCCGGTGGTGTGCAATCATTAGTAGCGAGAAGATAACGGAACATTCTCAGGCAGCCTCGTATCGTACGATAAGGCAACATTCAGGAGCGCAATACACATAGACGAGCACAATAGAGGCACGAATTATCAGATAAAGAGAGAAGGATGCGAGGGAGGAACGGAGAGATAGACGCGCGCGAGGGTGAAAAGAGGGTGTGTAGCCAAGAATTGCCAAGTATGTTATATATACACATATATACATGTAGTACATAAAGACTGTGCGTATAGGATAGGACAAGACATTCAATTAACCCTCGAATGGAGGCGCTTGATTACCGAATAAAGTGCCGCTATGTAAATCTCCCGTTCATAATTGCCGACTCTAGTCGGCGACAGTTAGCTACCGGAAGTAATTCGATTACGCGCGACCAGTCGAGAGGTGCGATCGATTTAAGTGCGTGTATAACACGTGTGTGCGCCGCGTCCTATCGACGGGCATCGAGCGGGTACATAGCATGAGAGAGAGAGAAATCTATGTGAGCCATAAACATGGATTAAAACGTACAATCGTACATAAAAGCGCTCGTGAGTCAACGCAAATGGCTCGCGTAATGAAAAAAATATAAAAAAAAAATAAAATAATCCGGCCAGTCATAATCCCGCATAATCAAATATAATATAGTAACGTAAGAGCTTATTTGTATATGCTCGCGCGCCCGCGCCAGGCGCTTACTTTACGTGCCAAGGTGTCCTTACCCTGAAGATACGATCTCCTGACAAGGTGTCGGGGCTAAATGTCTCCCAAGTCCCGTTCTCTAGTAACGTATCGATCGAAAGGTCGAACTCCCGCGAGCGGTTCCTCGATTTCTGTCGAGAACCAGAGAGGACAGCTTTTAGCCTCAGGACTGTTTCCATCGGGCGCGGCGATTCGATTTTTTTTCTCCTTCCCCTTCCCCCCTCCCCCTCCCTTTCCCGAAGGCTATACGTGTCTGCGCGCCGATCGTTTATCCTCGTTATCCCTCTTCCTGCCCGCGACGACAACGACGAGGACGACGTCGCCGACCTCGCGTCGCCCGAGAAAAACTTGAAGCCACCCCCCCCCTCCCCTCCTATTCAAGTTTCCGACGTAATAAAGCCGCGCGAAAACTTTTCGCGGTGCTCTACACACCCTTTTAAGGTGAAAGACTTGCTGTTTTTTGTATAATTACTCTCGCACGTGTTCTCATTTCGCATTGGCACACGGTATTGCACCCGGGTGTCGCATGTAGCGATCGCGAAATTATTTAATATGTATTTCATACGCGCGCGCGGTGGAGGTTTTTAATTTTTAATTTTTTTGCCAACGAGAACGAGATAGAGGTATTGTTTCGTAATGCAAAGTTAATGCTTTTGTTTCGAAAAATTCGTTCTCCCCGTATTTTGTATTTTTCAGATACAGCGCGCTGTGCAGCAAAAAGCGTTTTTTTCCCCTGCGTTTTTCTGCTTCCTCGTAACGCGGATTAAACACATTCCGGACATGTATGGTGTAGCTGTGAACATATAACGTTAATATTTGTGTCGTGGGTGTATGCATGTGGTCCACGAGGATCGACCGATATAACTGTAATGCAAATTAGCGTGTTTTACACGCGCTGTCTATACCGATTAAGACACGACAAACTTTACGTTTTTCAATTATCTCACCGCGACAATTAAATATTTGAGGTACAAATTAATAAAAGGATTCTCTTTTCCCGTCACTGCTGTTTTCCCCCTCGCGACGAAATCTCGCGATCGTGCCTGATTATAAGCGCGCTATATTTAAGTATTGATCTCCCCTGGATCAAGGTCGTAAATTCTCCCGTCTTCAATTAGGTCTGCACCGTTTCAGCGACGCCTCGTAATTTAATTTGCGCCGGCCGACCTCCAGCCGATGCTCGTGTTTGCAGCGGACGTGCGACGTTCATGGAGGTTCACCTTCGTATTCACAAAGGTTCCAAGAGAGAGAGAGAGAGAGAGAGATGGGAAAGAGAAGTGGGATGATGGCAGTGCCAGGGATCCTCGTGCTAAGGCTCATGAGCTAAATCTACCCTTTCTATGCGACGATACTCGATGACAGGTTACTTTGATCATCGAGAAGAGGAGGCTCTGATGGGAAAACGATAACGAGAAGCGAAGGGGGAAAGGGGAAAAAAGTCGCAAGCGGTCTGCTCCATGTTGGTGTAATATATCAGGCTGGTTCTTTCCGCTTTGTTTTTATGGCCCGGCAGCGTTGACGCCCTGGCGAATTGTGCGTTGGTGGAATACTCGCGAAATCTCGGGCCCAAGTCGACGGTGAGACATGAATAGAATTTTACACTCGCTCGTGTCGCGCGAGACGATTCATCTCTCGTCCGGTGTTGCGGATTAAAACAATTTCACAGGTAACGCGCGGTATGTACATAACAGCGGGACACAAAGGTTGGCGCTTTTTACACGGAGAAGGGGGAGGGAAGGAGAACGACACGGAGAAAGCAGGATCGTTCGGGCGAAATTTGGGTCGCGCGCCGTTCGCGCGACCGCTTTTGTTCTGTGCCCCCGGGTTCATTCGTCGGCGTGGAAATGTATTTACAAGAAACATGAATGAATGGAAAGCCCATTGATGAGAAAGGTCGTCGGTAACGCGGAGAAACTCGAAGAAATCTGTACCTGGAAGAGCGGCTTGTCGGTCGCCGGCGACGCCGGAATCTGGACCGTGTAGAACTTCTGCTCGAATTCAGGGCCGAAGTCGTTAGCGTCCGCTACCTCGATGACGACCCTCGTAGTCGACGACAAGGGCGGTCTGCCGTTATCCCTCACTGTCACCTGGAAGCAAGAAATCACTAATTACAGCAACGGAGCAATTTAGTATATCATCGGGCGTACACGTTACGTTGGAATAGCGAGGTAATCATTCAAAGGTACCCAATAAAAAATATTTTGTATTTATATTAAAACCATAATTCTCGTTAAAATTTATGTGTTGAATTTTTGACATAGCCGAATGTTAATTTAATTATGTTAATTTTACACCAGGAGATTGTGTTATTTGAATATTTTGTGTTAAAATAAATAAGCGAATAAATAACGTAATATATCTTAAATTCTAAATGTACGTGTATGTTAAAACGTAAAATGAACAAAATGTGTGTTCATTTAACATATTATAAATATTAATTTAACATATTATAAATGTTAATTTTACTGAAGAAATATGCTTTCATAATTATAGCTTACAAATTGTGTCAGTATTACATTTTTATTGTATTAATATTTTACATTATATGTGCGTTACTTTCTAACATATTCATCTTGTGTTAAATTAACACAAAAATTTGAGTGGACCGTTTAAGACGTGTGAGATACGTGTTATAAATTGAATACAAATTTTTCAACTGTGTACATAATGTGATATGAAACAAATATATATGTAAATTTTACTGTGAAGAGAGTAAAGTAGTACACTTGTTACTACATTAACATAACTGGACTCAAGACTAAACAAGATTAATAAAATACTGAAATAAAAAAAAAGATAAAGCAGTTGGAAAGATTGCCTAATGAATTATGTAAAACCGTTGTACCGTTCTCACATTCAAAATTTTATCTTTATAATAATCACATTTTGATAATAAGTATAAAGAAAAATATACGGATATAATAATCTCATAAATATGAAAATTTTATTAATTACAAAATATTATAAATATTGTTACGAAAAAGAGAGAGAGAAAGAAGAGCTGTGTTACCGAAACGGATTTAGCAATAACCGAATATTGAAAAGCTTGCAACGATAATTTCAGCGAATAAACGAGTTAATACGAATTTTGATTAATTCATGGTTAAATTAACGCAGATACTGGACTATCAACAAATCAGATCGCAACATCAACATATCGTTGACTCGATTTATTACTATCTCTCGTAATGAAAGCATGTGATCGGCTTTACTACGCAAATCTCTCTCTCTCTCTCTCTCTCTTCCTCATCGAAACATTTATTAATATACATAAATTGTGCTCTCATTTTCTCTTTCCGCGTGTGTCACGATAAATATCGCATGTATTCGAATGCCGTAACTATAACAAAGATACGCGCGTACGCGTTTAAATTAATATTCTCCGATGCGATTATTGAGGGAAATACGTGAAACACATATGGAGATACACTTTCCCTCGATTCGTGTCATCGATTATTAGCCGGAAGATGAAAAAGGTCGGAAAAAAGACACATTAGGAAGTAGTCCAGGAGCATCCCTTCCCGTAATGCGATAGCCTCCCAGATTCTCTCTCGGACTTTTCGTACCGCCGCACCCCTTTTTCTCGTTTACTGCAGTCGTTGTCTTATCGTACACGTTTCTCCTCGTCCTGCGAAAATCCTGGACTTTCATGCGCGAATATCGCACGTACGATCTGGGCAGTCGGCTGTGCTGACCGGAAGAGCAGGAGGAAAGAGGGGCTTCGGGTCGTAAAACCAAGTGTCCCCCGCATCCGAGACGACGTCTCGCAAATCCGAGATTCCGGCCTTCGTACTCGCGTCGCCGTCGAGAATCGCGCGAAACGGAGATTGAAATCCGTAATTTTCACGATTTCAGATTTAGATGCCGCGGAAACATAAAAAATGACCTCAATAGTAAAAAGAGCACGACCCTTTTCAGCTTTTTTTTTAAATCATTCCTCAAGTAAAAAGAGACCTTCTTGAGAGCTCTTTTTTAAATCATTCCAACAAATCTCTAGTAAGCGTCGGGACAGACATCTTTCCGTTATTTCCGTAATAAACGTCGAAAAACACGTGTCATCAGGTCACTGAGAGACCAAGTGAATTTATAATTAAACTTCGTGAATAAATCATACGAATATATGCACGTTCGCTCACCGTTCGCGTGAATTTCAGTTCCAAGATTTAATTTGCATCTCTGCCGAGGCGGTTGTACATCTGATAATAACCGGTCGTGTTCTCGATTACTTTTGTTTACCTCCTATCTCATCTATAAATCTCGCACACGTCCTGGTTTCGTAAGAAAAATGCTGCCTGTTCTACGGCCAGTTCTATAGATAGATCTGTCTCTCCTAGTGCGGGGCCCTTCGCGCGGACCAGTAACGAAGCATGTGACTCATCGCGACGAGCGCTCTATTACGAGGCCGGTCGGGCGATCTGTCCATCCGTCCGGCGGAAGAGCCGCCGGGTAGACTGATGAGAGAGAGAGAGAGAGAGCGGACCGGTTACGAAATTCTCCGTCTCGGCCGTCTCGAGGCCCTCCCGTCCCCGCCGTCGTTCTTCGGCGCAATAATCGGTCCTCTCACGAAGCAATTTCCGCCCGGGAGAGAGAGAGAGAGAGAGAGAGAGACAGAACGGAGGAAGAGGCTGCGGAGAGACCGCGACGTAAATCCAATGTCCCTCGGGACATCTCTCGCGGGAGAGGACTATGCGCGTCAGATCCTCCCGGGGTAACACCTGCACTAAATTAGGCGCACGAAACTCCGTTTTATACACCGGACGTCGGGGCCCGGGTACCGGGACACTCTCATCTGCGACACGACAACGCGAAACAGCTCCGGATTTCCATCGTACACGTATCCGCATACGCGCCACACGCTTATCCCGCGCTGTCACATATCTATACATAGGAGAATCCGAATTCATTAAATAGAGCACGCCTGGAGAATTTTTATTCTGTATTCTCTATTTTTAATTTGCTCATATTCAATTTGTTTATGACAGATTACTATCCCCTCGATTTAATGCTTCTTTAATCACCACTACTACCTCGGGCTGTGACATAAAAAAATACAAATACAACAAAAATTCTTGCAAAATATATTCAAATAGAAATAGCATTTAATAAAAATCCCAATTCATTTCAACAGAATATACCTATAAAATATATCGAAAAGTTTTTTTGTTTCAGAAAGCAATTAAATCATATTTTATATTTTTATATATTAATTTGACAGTTATCATATAGTTGTGAACAAAATTTATTTTACTCTTTTGCGTACTTTACTTTCAGATACATACATATGTGGTTATTTAAATGGTTATTAATTAACAAAGTAAGTCGAAGACTTTTTTTAGTCTTCGATACATTTTACGATTCTACCAATTATAAGTGTTGATTTAGTAAAACATATTTTAATATATTTCGCAAGAATTTTTATTGTACATTTTCTCGCTTCTAACATCACAATCTGAAATAGTATTATTGATATTTTATTGTCTTCTTTGCCTCGAAAACAAGAAAGTCTTCTCGAAATCGGAGATAGCTTCGAAACATGCAAGGACAGCTTGTTTTTCGACGACGTAATTTTTCTATTATTATAATGAGGTTAATTACGTGAAAATCACGCGTGTCGCTATTTAATGAATTCGGGAGAGCGCATCAGCGCCAAGATTCTGCCATGCTCGCGTTCGTTCCTTCGAGGCTATATAAATTTCATCACAGTCATCTTCCCGTATCTTCAAGAGACGGAGGAATATATTAAGTGTCCCATTTCTGGAGCACCCTGTACAAGATGAACATAGGGGGGGGGGGGGACCCTTAACCAACGGTAGTAGGATTTAAACGCTTGGTCGATCGCGCTAAATCCGTCCGAGCGTCGTCGTATCTCGCCCGAAGGTGCGGCTCCGCGAGTTTCCTCGCTTTCGCACTCCCTTCAAGCACTCGCAATTTTATCATCTCGCTCGGAGTGTGTTCGCGCTCCGGGCGCTCCGGGGACGGTTTAATATCGGTATGCGATCTATGTAAACCGCACGGAAGGGGTTGGCGAGATTCCGAGAACGCGCGAGAGTCAGCACAACAAACATGCGAATTCTAAGTAAAGATCATTATCCCGCCGCGCACTAAATACGTCTTCTTTCTTTCTTCACGTATGTGTGATCTACGCAAGTATGATGGATGCGCGTTGACGACAGCCTGCATTCGGATTTCTCATTAGCGTATCGTTTTTCACAGTCATTGCGCAATGTTTTTCGATCGCACGGTACGGTGAAAATTATTCAACGATACTTTCCACTAGCTGAAAATTCATTTGCATTTTGAAATAAATTATTATATTTTATGTAGAATATATAATATTTTAACAGGATATTGCGTAACCCAGATACCGCGGATTTATTAATTTTTTGATCTATCTAGAATCAACTTTTTTCTTAGCGGAAATATTACGGAAAAATATTATTTATCTCAATTTTATTCTTAATTTTCAACATTAAATATCTATATAACGCTGTTCCTCATTTTGCAAATCTATCAAAGTAAAATCCATCTGAAATTAAATGAAAATGAAGGTTTTACTATTCTGCAAAAAAAAATCTTTCATTTTCAATTAATTAAGAAGACGATCCCTTTCAGCCTTTGATCAATTGATCAAAGGATTCGTAAATAAAATGTAGTTCTGGAGTAACGTTATAAGAGGTAGAAAAGTTTAATTAATCTAAAAGAAAAAGTATTGCCCCTTTCCCACGCTTAATACAATTTCACCATTTTAACACGGTAACACGAGCATTCAGCGGGTGATATAAAAGATGCAGTTTCCATCGTGACCGTTTTCGCGCGTCAGTGATCGAGCCGCATTATTTCTCCGACTCGAACATGTCTCGTTTATAGAGTGGTAGGCGAAGACAGAAAATCGCCGGATTTCTCGAATAACCTGGCGACGTTTCTCCGGCGAGTGAGTACATCCCGCGCTACGAGACTCTCCAAGCTCCAGAGAGGAATCGCGTTTTCCTCGTGATTAGGGGTAATAGCTGTGCTTTGCCCGAGCAGTTCTTCACAGCCTCCTTCCTCCGTCGCGCTCCTCTCTCTCGCTCGGCTCTCCGTAATTACC